TTAAAATACGTGAACAACTCAAACGTAAATCTTTGTTTCAAGTTTTTATACGAACAAGCTCCAAGCTCATCGCATTCTCGATTAAGTAACGGTAGAATTTCGCCATCTAATTTGGAGAAGAATTTGAAGTGATTCGTCGATTTCTGCGAAATATCTGATGATATATTATATTCAAAAATAGCTCAAATACTTTGTTCCATCAGCTGAATTGTGAAATAAAATCTAATCCACATATTATGTGATATACAAATACAACTCATTCATCATCGATGTAATTAATTTATTTGATTGCATCATATAAAACATTTCTGATCGCATTCAGTTATTCTGCATTCCTTCATTTTACATCACGAACTGATTATACAAGAGAACAAACGAAAGCGACTATCGAACAAATTAATCAACAATTAAGGACTGATGATTGTCTCAATAATCGAGTCATGAATCCTCGTTAAATGCATCCAAACATCCTTCATTGACGGTCGTTCACTCGCTTCCTCCAACCAACATTTTCGCATTAACTCGCATAAATCTTCATTTAACGTCTTGTTCAGTGCTAAATTATTCCAATTCATCAGAATACTGCGAATGAATAATTTACCGCACCACTTACATACCGAATTTCCATCTCTTCCCAATTTGAAGCTATTAATTTGAAGTTCAAACCTGGCCGAAAGTATTCTCCGGCAATTATTTTGCGGCGAATCTCTTGAGCAGTTCTCGTATAATACGGTACATTCCCGGTAAAAATTTCATATAAAGTCATTCCAAATGCATACACATCAGTGCTCGAATTTAAACACTTCGTCTTGAAAACCTCAGGTGCAAGCCAGCGTAAATTTACTGGCTTCATGGGATCGACAGATTTTGATCTGAACTGATCAGTGAAATTATTAGCGTTAAAGGTGATTGTTTGGCTGTTTTATGGTATTGCTATCGAAGATTAACTCACTGATCAATTGCAAATATCTAATAATGGTGACTGAAATGGAAAATGTCAGTATTGGGGTGCAAATCGATTCAAACCAATGCAATGCTTGATTGATTATGGAACTTTATTACTGCTTTTTATTTGTAGAGTATATAGTGTAGTTACGAGAGTGGTCAATCAATTAGAGCGATTCACTGACTTTGCGATAACGGCTTTTCGGAAATCGCCTAGTAAAAAGGTGAATTCGGGCAGAAGTTGATCGTTTGAGTTCGATCGAATAATCTCTCTTCTCACGAAAATATTGCGAGCACCGATATTACAATGCAAAATACCGCATGAATGCATGTCGACAATTGTTTTCGCTATCGATTCACTTGCCTGTGAGATAGATATACATTCCGTTAACATATGGACTGTCTACTCCAATCTTTCAACATTTCGATGATAGTAAAAATCTATTCAACAAGTAAATCACAAACATTGATTTTGTCGAAGGAAGTCAGCTGCGATGGATATTGCGACGCGAAGTCGGGGTATGATCGACAATTAATGTATGGATATATGACTAAATATGGCGATTTGATTAAGCGTACAGCCATCACACGTAACACAGCACAGCCATCTGTGATACGATCCATCAGGTTCGATATATGCAATTCCTGAACACTGATGAGCAATTCGGAGATATATATAAATCCGGAGGCATCTATAGATCAAATGCTGGTCGTTTGGATCAATTCCGGGTAATTGACGGATTTGAGCTGTGAGGTATTTTCTCAGGGTGAATTAGACAATAAAACTTGAATAAACAAATTACAACAAACATCAAAACTTACCATTAAGATTCTATTTAATTCTTCCGCTGAATAGTTACTCATTTCTTTAATCACAACCTTTTCACGCCTACCATTCAAATTTAG